TCCTCTCTCTCTCTCTCTCTCTCTCTCTCTCTCTGATAGTTCACCCCACTCTAACTTACACCTGCCTATATTCGTCGCTCCCCTATTCACCACTCTTTTGGAAGAATCCACCCATGGCGATTGGTGCAGGAGGATCAGGAGTTGTGGGTAAGGCCCCATACTCTTACATTCATCTAATGATATTACACAATTTTTCATGCGTTTTTTTACTTCTTGATCACGCAAATTTGTTGGGATTTTCTCATTTTCCAATTGTAAATTAATACTGAGTAAGATCGGGTGTTGTATTTTGATTTGAGGTTAGTTTTCAGTCATATTATTTTGTTTATGTCTGCCCTAGTCAGATTTTGGGGAGAATCATGGTGGGTTTTATTTGTTTTGAGGAAGCTTTACTGGGATAAATGGAAAGAGTGAATATTTTTGGGATATCAGGGGTTTCTAGCTTTGATGATTGATCTAGAGAGTGAAACGGGTGGAGAGAGAATTGGGTATTTATGATTTTCTTTGATAACTTCTGTTGTTTTCTTTTTACTATCCGTTTCAAAACAATTCAGAATCATCCTGTTGATGATCAGTAGATAATTTTACCCATCAGAGAAAGGGAACACCAATCGATCATTCCTTTCTTGGCCAGTTGAGGTAATTGTAAATTAATTTCATGTTTTCAATGTAAAATGAGAGATTATTATTTTTTCCCCTCACTTTCTTTTGGTGAACACATTCCTTCTCAATCGAAGTTTAGGCTGCAATGGACTATAAGGTATTTACATGGAACTCAAGGCTGCAATGTGAATCATTTTGTGTCTGTAGAGGTTTTTATCATTTGGGTTCTGTTAAGTATTGTGTGCTGTTCAATGTCTAGAGTTATCATGATGGATTTAGGTTCAGTTTTGTGTACTCTTCAATGTTTACAGAATTACAGTTATCATGATGGACCTGCAATAAATTACATGGATGTTTAACGTTTCGAGTGTGTATTACTGACCAATGATGTTCTACCAAATTTGGTTGGGGGTAGCTGTGTCGTATTGGACATGAGTTTGGACTGGTATGATTATGCATGTTTCCATACATTGGGAATGAATAAATCATTGGAATATTGTTGATAATATAAAAAACAATAATTGGAAAATCATTGGAATAGCTTTATCCAAAAAAGAATCTTCAGAATATTTTTGAAATCGACGTGATATTTACTAATACACAGCTAGAATCCTTTGAAGATTTGAACCACTACCAAATTATCAATAGTGGTAGTGTGTAATAACAAAAATTGGACCATCTATGGTTGATAATATTAGTCGTCTTGTAAAGTATCTTGTTTGTCTCACTATGTGTATTTTACCATTCATTGTAAAGATTATTTATTGCTTGCAGTTGGCTCTGTAGCTTTGATTTGAATGTTTTCTTCTCTCTCTCTCTCTCTCTCTCT